GACGTCTTGAACATTTTATGCTAGTTTGCGTATACCATTGAAAAATTAACTCTGCAAGGCACAGGGTAGCCTGTGGAATTAGGCACAGGTGCTCAATTATGTGGCTTTTTGCTTTGTCTTTGCAGACCCGTAATCGGCCTCCTGGGCATAAATATGGGTTATTGACCAAGTGTGAGGTCAAGATGGTTGGATATTGGCCAAGTTCCGTTTTTGCATGTTTATGGCCGAGACGGGAGTCGAAGTCCATAAACTCGCAAAAAAAGAACGAGGCTAATATCCAGCCATCTTGACTGAACAAGCTTGTTCAATAAAGGGTTTATTATTTGGCTTTCGGGGAAATTTTTCTTGCAGGACACGGCGGGTAGTCCCGAGCGGGCAAGATAGCTCCATCTTGCCCGCTCGGGTAGCCAATCGCAGCCCAGGATTTGATTCATCTTGCCAGCTCACGGAGCTGGCCATATAATAAGAGAGAATAATGCCCTGCTCAGTAGCCATTCCGAGCGCGCGTTTTATCGACTACAAACAAAAGTTTGCCCTGTACTTTTATATATAGTAACAATAATAAAATATACTTAAAGTCTTGAATTACGGACAATTGTATATACCTCTAGCCAAAAAGGGGCACTTTTCTCTTTAAGCCATTCAGAGCGCGCGTTTTATCGACTACAAGCAAAAGCCATATAATAAAAGCGATAAATTATATGGATTGTTCGTAGCCGATATAACGCGCGCTCTGATTGGCCAATTGTAGGGCATTATTCTCCTGTAATGCCCACGAGGACGATTACGGGCCCGCAAGACCAACAATTACTCTTCTTATTTTCAGCAGCAATAACTACCGTTAAGTTTCCAATGTCTATTTTGTTGACTAAAACAGTTCTCACTGAGACTCCCTCACGTTAAATTTTGTTGATTTATCGGCAAGAGAAGTTCTTATGGTACAATTCCAGTCAGGGAGTATTGGTATTGTTTGGGCTTGTAATTTCAAGGCCTCTTTAAAAAAAAAATCGAAATTAATCACGCGATCTTTCCGTGAATTACCTTTTTGATAAACATATTATTAAGTTTTGATGTTTTCCATGAAAATCTTTTAAACGCGCCAACTGTAATTTTAACTGTTTATCTACGCAATCAGGGCTTTAGGAAAACGCAATATTTAAACGATAACAACCTTTTATAGATAAAATCTGGAGGCGATAGGAACTTTTGAAACAAATTTATGGCTATTTCCCTACTTCGGTAAATTTGCTGGGCATGACCCTTCGCGACGGGTCGCGATGAAAAGTATCTGTTGCGATGG